GGAGGGGGAGTGAGGGAGCCTGGAAAATGGGAATGGTACGATCTGCACGTTGTCTTTTTTCCCCCTTGCTAGCCATATGTAATCTGTACCTGGTGAAATGTGACCTCTGTCGAGCTCCGACTCGAAAACAGCCTATAAAACGTCTCGCGCATCTAATCAGCTCCATTTATATCTATTTATCTCCTCTTATAGATAATCATTGCCTTGTCTTTCTTGACCTCATCCCCCACCTCCCTTTCCATACCTCTTCTCCGCCCCTCCCCCCCCCCTCTCACCGCCGCCCACTTATGCCTAGTCAATCTCATCTTCTTTATTGAGTCCTGGGCTGAAATATTTTTGGGACATTATACACATAATCTGTTTGGCGCAACTGACAGACCGATGTTTATTGTGAAGCGGTAAGGCGCTTTGCTGTCGCTCCCAAGAGACCTGAGTTCGATTTCCAAGTTGGGACAACATTTCTTTATTAAATCGAGTATCTTGGTCTTTCTGCTGAGATGTTGTTTCCCTGTGGGTGGTTGGCGGGTGCTCTGGTGTGGTTGGCTTCTTTTTTCCTATCAAACATCTATCGTCTGTACCTCCCCTCCTGCTGTTTTTGTGTTTGTTACTCCCTTGAAACACCTGCAATCTTCGGCACTTATATGACCCTATTGTGTTGCAAATGCCGTAAAACACTTACTAAAATTAAAAACGGTTGTATCCCTCTCAGCCCGGGTTGACCCTGATAAGCAATGTCGGAAACCCGTCTTTTAAATGATCTAAAATATGTCGATGGGGACGTAAAAACACACACACACACACACAAAAAAACTATTTAAAATCAAGCTTTTATAACGTTAGTCCTGTTCTAGAGTAATTTTCGGACATTACACGTGGTAATCTGGCATATCTGGAAGAATTCTTTTCCCGGGCGTCGATCCAAATACAAGACATGAGTGGTCCAAACATTTGAAATGGGCTACTGTGCTCATTATTGTGAACTACGCGGTTTCTATTTGCTTTAAAGTGACATTCATTATTATTATTATTATTATTAT